CCCCCCCTTCCTGGACATTGCCCGTCCTGCCCCCGGCAGCCTATTAGAGCGGCACCTTCTGTGTGACCTGACCCGGGGCATTTAGGGACCAGCCTTGAAAGAGGAAGATGGGAAGAGCCGAGCCAAGGCAGGGAATGTGTTCACTTTGGCGGGAGAAGAAGGTAGGATGGATTGTTTGGGGAGATGCAGCGGGAAGGATACGTGGGGCGAGGGAAAGAGGACTGCAGCCCAGGTGCAGTTGATTTCCTTGGCATTGGGGGGCTTGGCCAGTTCTCGGACTTGAGGGAGCATCAGCATTACTGAGGGCTCATTAAAAAGTTCCAGGTACCAACGTTTCTGATTCATTAGACCTGGAATGGAGCTCAAGGATCACAATTTGAGTCATACATAAGATGTTTAAGACTATACCTTATCCTGATCACCTTACTCTGAAGACGGATCAAAGTGCATGCGTTGGGCACTTTTGCTTTATGTGTAATGTACATTTTTATTACAATGAGAATTTATCACTTGTACAGTCACAATTATTTAAAATTGAGTTGGCGTGCTGTGTGGTGAGATAGATGAGGGATTGGGGATCTGCCCTGGAGGCTGATTAAACTCAGATGTGAAGGCAGTCATACATACATACACCACCCAGCCTGGACTTCCACTCCCTATTTTCACTCCCACCAACCAAATGGGGAGAATGAATAAATGTAAGGGGTGAAAACTGTAGTCTATCTGCAGCGCTGGGAGCACTCCGTTCATGGTTAAGAGAAGCACCTTATGGAAAACTGTCCCAGAGCACTGGATTGGAGTCATTGCTAAACTGAGCTTCTCTAAGGTTCCTGTCTTCTAAGCTCCGCCTCCAGTAAATAAATTGGTGAATGTCAAAAGTGAACATAAGCCCGGCCGGGTGTGGCTCAGCGGTTGAGCGTCGACCTAGGATCCAGGCCATCGGGGTTCAATTCCCGGTCAGGGCACATGCCCGGGTTGCAGGCTCAATCCCTAGTCAGGAGCGTGCAGGAGGCAGCCAATCAATGACTCTCTCATCATTGATGTTTCTCTCTCCCTTCCTCTCTCTGAAATCAATAAAGATTTAAAAAAACAAAAAACAACTGAACATAAGGCCAAAGGATGACCAATGCCAGAACTCAGAGGGGAGGCAGGAGTAGATAGAGATTGAATGCAGCGTCTGGTATTCGTTAACTGACTAGATTATAATGCTGGTTTTGCTACTTTTCTGCTGGGTGACCATGGGATAGTGAACATTTCATAGCCTCTCGGTGGCCAAATCTATAATTGTGGAGACAGCAGCACCTCCTCAGAGCCATTCACTGAAAAGTGCAAATACATATCTTATTTGTACTTTCCATCAGGTTTTTTGCTGGGTTTAAGGGGGAGGTAGCCTTGCTCCAGGGCAAGAATGTCATCTGTGAAGGCAGTGGAAACTCCTTAGAGAGAACCTACATTGACAGACTAGAGGTAGAAGTAAAGGAGGGAGAGGAATCAGGGTCAATGCCTTGCAGAGCTCAAATTAGAAAAGGCAAAGTAGTGCTCACAGCTTTCTGAATTTGTCTAGTAGGTCCTCCAGTCTTGATCAGAAGGTGGGGGGAAAAAAGGAAAGGCAAACTGTTGAGTGTTGCTTTGCTATGCCTGACACTTCTCAATAAAATTAGCTTTTTTTTTAAATCCTCACCTGAAGGTATTTTTTCCATCATTTTTCAGAGTGGGAGAGAAACATCAATGTGAGAGACACATCGATTGGTTGCTTCCGGAATGTGCCCTGACTGGAACAATGCTACCACCAGAGCCATGCCAACCAGGGCTAAACATTAGCTATTAAGGTGGTACATGAAGATCCTCTCTGGATAGGAAGGCAGAGGCCAGGTCTCCCCAGAGCCAATGGTAAGGTTTTAGAGGGTTGGGTTTTTATCCTTAAGTAGTTTTTGTTCTCAAAAAGGGGGTTAATCTTCTAGTTCACTTTTCCCAATTAACTCTTCACCTAAATCTGCAATTTAGCCAAGGTGATGAACCAATTGGATTAAGCTAAATGCAAAATCGAATTGGTTCATAAGATATTTGCCCTTTCCATTAACTTTAAATTGGATCTTCACCAACTCATTAATTCAGCACATATTTGAGTGTCTGGCACATTGCCATGCACTTTTCCAGAAGCTGGAGACACAACAGGAAACACATATCTGTTTGCCTTATGAGGGCAAAAAAGACAAATAAAATGAACAAAACATGCCAGGTTAAGGGATAAGGAGAAACTGGGGCAAAGGGCGCTATGGAGTGGACTGCAATGTAAAATTCTGTCATCAGAGAGCCCACTAGGGTGTCTGGAGGGAGTAGGCCAGGTGGACATTTGAAGTGTTCATAAATTAAGGCCAGGATGCTGGTGACTATAGAAAAAATGTACCAGGTCATACTGAGTTCCATAGTATTTGGTCAGGATCTTGAGGTGGGAAGCTGTTTTGCGAAAAACCCAATCTTTAACCTGGCCAGTGTGGCTCAGCAGTTGAGCACTGACGACCTATGACCCAGGTAGCTGGTTTGATTCCTGGTCCTGGCACAGGCCCAAGGTTGTGGGCTCAACCCCCCAGTGGGGGATATGGGAGGCGGCTGGTCGATGACTCTCATTGTTGATGTTTCTCTCTCCCCGTCTCTCAAATCAATCAAGACATATTAAAAAAAAACAACACCCAATCTTTAAAAAAAATAATCACTGACTGCTAGGATTGCACTGGGGGCAACAGAAGCAGCACTGACAAGTAGGATAAAAAAATGTGACAATGGTAAAGGTGGTGGTAAAGGTTAAACCAACAAGATTTGGTGACCTTATATGTAGGAGTGTTAAGAATAAAGGTCAGAATGACCCAAGATTTAGATTGAGGCAGTTGTATGAAGACAAGTATGTGTTATGATCAAATAGTTGAGAAACAATTTGAAAATCGAAAGCTGAGAGGAATGTGATAATTTTGAACATGCTGAAAGTGCAGGTGTCAAGTAGGTCTGGGCTAAAGTCAGAAAAATGAACACAAACCTTATTTAAATGCTGGTGAGACAACGTAGCCAAAACAGAGAGCCGACCCTCAGATTTAGCAATGCAGAAATCACTGGTAATCTAAAACACCCTTTTAAGTGAGGGGGAAGGGGTTAGGGCTCAAGGGAAAATCGTAACTTCAAGATTTCTAGACCATTAAAACCAAGGTCCAAGGGGCACAGGATCTCTCAAAAAGCCAGCTTAAGAGGTAACATTGCCTTAGGTTCCAATCACGGTCAACACCCCAATATTGTTGGGGGCCCCAGTGCTGCAATACTTCCCTTATATGGTCTTTGTTTGGCCTGCATGTCACATCCACCCCCCACTTTGGGGTGAGAAATGATCCCTGTAGTATGTTAAGGAACAGCCTATGTAACAGGCCTGGCCTTCAGGGAGAGGGAATTAGGGCACTCTTAACATGTGATCAAGTATTCAGACAACATGGACACAGAACCCAGATTAAACACCTTTATTACATGAGCTAGGACAGGAAGAAAGAGGATTTATTTGCCTTTCCGGGCCTTGATTTTCCTCAGATAGAACTCCAGCTCCTTGCCCTCGAGCACATAGCCGTCTGCTCGGCCACACTGGCCTGGTCTTGAAGCGATGCATGCTGTAAGAGAGTATGTGGTCCTTAGCAAAATAATCATGTGGCCCTACCCATACTTATGTGCCCTCACACACATTGGTTTAGGTATTCTGGGGGGCAGGCATGAAACCTGCTGTCTCCTCAGATATACTTTATCGTCACTTAAAATCAGTAGCAGAACTGGACAAAGTTTTCATCATTGAGACAGCCCCCAACTTCTCAAAATACTGCTCCTGAAACTGAGAGGCAGAAGCCAAGTTCAGACCTATGGGCTCCTGCCTACCATTTCCTACTTTAGCTTCACACTAATAGGTTGACCAAACATTGACTTGTATGCTGTTATTAAACTGTCCTGGTGAACCCTCTAGTCCACATGGCTGGCAGTCAAAAGGAGTGAAGCAAGGGTAAAATGCAGAGAGCACACCACAGCTTATGACTCCCCGACCCCAACACAACAGCCATCTTACCAAGCAGCTTGCCCTGCTGGAACTGCTCCTCTAGAAGACTGCTGATTTTGGCATTCTTTTTCCTTTCATCATATTTCTTCTGAATTTTCTTTGATCGTTTTTTGTTTAAAATCTCTTCCTCCTCAGGAGTCTGAATAAAGGAGACAGAGATGGGTTAGCTGGGGGTCCCAAAGTCCTAGCTCGGGGGAAAGAATGTAACCATAGCCTTGAACCCCACACCCCTCAACTTCTGCTGCCTTCCTCAGCACTGAAGGTTTTCTTCTCTCTCCATTCAGTAGCAGAACTGGACAGAATTTTCATCACAAGGCGGCTAGGATCAGGTTGGCCTCCCCCCACCCCTACAGGGAGGTTGGCTCCCTAAAAACTCACCAGCTTGGCCCCCTTCTTGCGGCCCAGGGGCAGTGCATAGTGGGACTCGTACCACTGTCGGTATGGTGTGCTGTCAATGAGCACAATGCAGTTCTTTACTAGGGTCTTAGTGCGGACCAGTTCGTTGTTGGATGCGTTGTAGACAACATCAATAATCCTCGTTTTGCGCGTACAACCTGCTTGCAAGAGAAATTCAGAATCAAGCCATGTAAACTAGAGGCCAGCTGGCCTTTCCTTCCCACCTCCACCTTAATAGGGCCTAAGGAGAAGCAAGGGAACTCTAACCCTTTACCTAGCCACAGGGCACCAGCTCATCTTCCACAAGCCCATCTTCCCAGAAGTGGCTGACACCACACATACATAGTCTCTAGATTCAGCCCCCTCCCTGAGCCTATAGGAATTGAGAGAGAAGAGGACAGGCTGGAGAGACCGCTCTGGTTACCACAACCTCAGGGTCAAGAAGAAACTTCAGTATCTGGGTGGAGGCCATGGGCTTCCTGCTAAAAGCACTTACTGAAGCTTAGAAGGGTTTAGGTGCTGAGTTCCCACCCACTCCTGGAGGGCCTCACTCACACTCTGAGCCCCAGGAGAAGTTGCCCACATCCAACCTCAAGGCTCGGTACTTCTTG